ATATATATCTTATATTAAGAGCTGTGATATTCCTTAAAATTTCCAATTCCTCTATGGTTATATCCATATTTCTGTATGTTCCTTATAAATTCCATTTTTTTTTTGGATCGTTCCGTTTGACATATTTCTTCCAACTTTCACGTCAAACATTCCTCTTCATTTTTGGTTCGTTCCGTTGTACATATTTTTTCCTACTTTCACGAATCATTCCCCGTCATTTCTCTCTCTTCTTTCTGTGATGCTAGCCCTGGACTTAACACAGGGAGTTAAAGGCAGGTACTGAGCACCAAAGTTAAGCAATGATGTATGACATTCGTTTCAGTACACTCGGATAGAAAATGAGAATAAATGTTTCTTGTGGAAAAAATTGAAATGAGATATAGGATAGTGCGATTTAGTGTATGTGAAATCGCTTCTACATATGGCATAGAAACGCTACGCTAACATTCCCAAATAATAAAATAGTACGAGATGATAATAATACTTATATAACCCAGTAATAGCAGAGACTAAGCTCCTCATTCCTTCCCCCTGTAAAGGGGAATATAGAGGAGTATGTGAATAGATAAGGTGAAAACAAGTCCGGTGTCATAGATGATCCGTTGTTGAAAAATCTTAGAAGTAGAACGACTTTGATCGTTTTACTGGTATCACCCTGAATATTTCTATTTGAAATTAAATTTTAACATGTTGAGTTGACGCTGAAATGGAAGCTATGATTCTGGCAATAAAGGCCTACATCTCGTTTCCTGACGATGACGAGATAAATGATATGGCGACATTGCAGCTAGTGCTGTGGAGCCACTTGGTGTTCGGGCTACGAGCGTACGGGATGGATCAGTTTCTTCACGGGCGCCAGAGAAACACCCATTGAAGAAGACAGCGATTGAAGAAGTTCGTGTTGCTAAATGCATGATGCAAAAGTGATATTCGAATATGAACGCGTGACACGGAGAGATAGTTGGATTATTTAAAACAGAGTAACAAAATACATTTATGCTCAATATAGCGAATGAGCTAACTATGGTTTCTAAAATCCGATTACATTCGTACACTCTAGTCGCGTTTGAGGGGAAGGCGCAACTTACGGATTTGATTTGTACTCATGTACGAACTATCAAAGTGTTAAAAACCGGAACATCGTAAGGCTGCACTGGAGGAATTGGGTATTGAGGTTACCGAGGGAAACGTTGCGGCAAAAACTGGCTAGATTCGTTTCTATATTCATTTTCATCGTGGCAACCACTTGCAGATAAGGCAATTAAGTGCAGAATTGACTCTAGTATGTGATTTGAAGACTTTAACGGCAGAGCCCGATAGAGGCGCATACGTATCCGGGCACGAACGAATGCAATCAGGTTCAAGAGGGGAAGTGCAGCAAAGGAAAGCGTCCGTTTGAGAACAAACCGCATGTCAAAGCCCCTATCGTTGAGACTGAAGTGGCCGAAATCACAACATGCAGTCAACACTAGAAACAAGAGATAAACATAAACTATTTTACCGGGCCTATGATATGATTCTGTATCTCCTACCACTTGCTTATTTGCGCTTACCCCATCCGCGCTTCTCGACCGGATTATGACGGATAACCTGGTCCTTCTCGGTATTTCGTACTCTGCACTAACCCATTCCGCGGCACTACACGGCGCAGACCCGATCCGTACCACAGAGGTGGGTACTCTACTTAGTAGGTCAGCAAGCAAATATATGGAACATTCGATAGTAACAGTGTTTTGTCAACACCGGCCCAAATTGACTCAGCACATATCTTCCATTGTCGACTCACTTGGCCCAAGCTTCAAACGGGAATTTACTGACCACTTCTTCCCATCAATCTTTCCTGAACCACTACAGCGACTATGAGAGCCATACCATATGTTCATACATTGTATAACACATACTTGCCATTTTTGAAATAAATATTATTATCCCTACTCAGTCACCGCTCGGTAACGAGAGGTATAGTACATGTCCGTGTGCAAAGTCGGCGAAGATGTGTCTCTGGGATGACATACATAGTTTGTAGAAACACATGCAGTAGGTCTAGGAAAGAATGCTCATCCTGTGAATGACATCATATTTGATTTCGAATTGGAGGGCGACCTGACCTACGTACGACGTTTTCTAGCAGGCGTATGGGCCTCCATAATTGAAAATGAAGTGACCGAAATCACAAGTATATCGTCAACGCTAGAAACAAGAGATAAACCTGTACTATTCGACCAGACCTATGATTGCATTTTAGAATTTCTGTCCTTTGCTTATATGCGCGTACCGAGAGCTGACTGGGTCGTACTCGACTGTGTTAAAAATTGATAGTATAGCTATTTGGAGGTACAGGACAGACCCGTATGTAAAGTCGGCGAAGATGCGTATTTGGGATGACGTACATCGGCAGTTCACAGGAACACATGCCGTGGATCCCGAAAAGAATGTTCAAGCTGTGAATGACATCAGATTACATCTCAAGTTGGAGAGTGACCTGGTCTATATAAGATTTTCTAGAGCAAAGGTATGGATTCCAGCAGGGGTATGGATAGTAAGACGTATAAGCACTCTGCACTGGCCATTAGCTAAGTGATACACGTTGTTTTTACGACAGTGTATATTGACGTACAGACCAATTGTTTCGATTTAGGAGCTTTAATGTTTACGCTGGCAATCACTCTGTGAGATACACAACATGAATAGTTCAGCAAGCACCCCAATTGTTTATTGAATCTTAACTTTGCCGACAGATCGGTGGGGACGACGAACGTATGCGTGCTAATTTCCAGACAAACAGTTCGAGTAGCAGCGAGAGACCAGAAATTTATCTTGCGTTTGCGAATATGATACTCGAAAACTCAGCAGACCATCGGATGGTAATAATTTTGGGAGCTTCATCTAGTGACAAGTTGCCTTGGCGTAATTTTTGCATCTGTCTTTGGGATGAGTAGCAAGATGCTTGAAGTTGAAGGTAAATTTTTGCGTTCAGTGGATGAATCGATCGCGCATGTTGAAATTTTCAGAAAACACAGAGGTATCCAGTTAAGATACAATGGAAAAGGGCAGAGAAGGATGATGGAGGCGATGCACAGGAGTATCTAAATTTTGTGATTGCGCCGCCACTCATTTGAGCTCAAATTTCATGTTCGATGAGTTGACGGCAGTTTCGACTGCGAATGCACTATGTGATCTTAAGATCAGTAGCTTTGACGTTTCGACTTCGGGAAGATGCCGAGGTACTTGTGCACTTGCTTATTGATGATCCTATGAGTGGTGCTCACATTGTAATTGTCCATGTTTTACAATACCTTGTCTAAAGCTACAGGCTTAGATTGTCACTTCGGCATGGAACTAGATATATGGTGCATGCATGAAGAACGTGGCTACGCTGTCCCTGGTACAGGGCATAATTCTTTATACGGGCTCCGGTTACACATCACCGGAGTCTCAACATCAGAACACTTTAACACCGTCTTGGAGTGTCCAGCTCCGTCCAACGGTGAGTGGAGCACTGGTGTGGCTGAGAACTCTGCAACGGCTATATGTGGCCAAGACCACGCGCGGTTTCCAGACGGGTTGTAGAACTCACCAATTGTGACACCGTCGTGGTACGAAAAGCAGAAGGCCCCGGTTGTCAAGAATTGACAAATATTTTAACCAGGGCCAATTATCTGGCTTACTGATTAAAACAAATTGATTTGGGAGGCCTATCCTTAGAGCATCGGGAGCAGGCTTATCGTGGAGTAATTGTGGCCTTAATCATGGATTTGGGCCACACTGTCGAGTTGAAGCGACTCCGAGTAGATGAGGGAGCGTAAATTTCCAGCTCTGGTGGAGCATCAGGCGCGCCCCATATGCCAGAATTCTTCAGATATCTCAAAATTGGTGAAAGCAACAAAGAAGACGCAGCACGAGCTCGCGCTGTATCGTACAGGGCAAAAATTCAGTCCAAGGGACGACTAAATTCCAAATTACCGCACAGCAGTGTTCCTAGGATTGATCCGAATGCTCCTCTATATCTCAAAGTTAGAAGTGTCTTAGCGAATTGGAGGGAAAGCGGAGCATCCCAGGAGCTCCTGAAGGGGCCTCCACCTCCATCGACGAAGGGTCGGTGGAAAACAATACCAGAGGTGGATGACGCGATGATCCAGACGGAATTCTTGCGACTCGAACAAGGCGGAATTATCCAACGTTGCCAGGAATTGGAAGGCACTTAGGTGCACTCAGCCTTTATGATCCCGAAATCCGACGGGAGGAGAGGCCGGTAAATTCTGAATCCGGAAAGCATCAACGCTCACGCTCAGAGGACGACCTTTCGAACAGACGGTCTAGAAAGATTGGCGGGCGTTGTGAGACCGGGGGATGTAGCTATGTCAGCCGACATAAATGACCTCTACTATGCGTTAGCTGTTACCAACCCCAGGCTCTGGCAATTTCGCGACCACAAGCACCAGCTTTAGTGCTTCCTGGCACTGCCGATGGGGGCAACATTTCCCCCTGCAGGGTTCAACCAGCTGATGGACATAGTGCTGAAAATAATGAGAGCTCGAGGCATACGAATAATCCTGCACGTCGAAGATTTTCTGTTATTAGGACGACCAAGAACCTGTCGGAAGCATGCGAAGATCATGATAATATTCATGGAGTTTCAACTTCAATTCGCCCCAAGAAAAGGACATTGGATAACACCAGTGACCAGACTCCAACCCC